AACAAGGTAGAACCCGGGCCATCACAAAGGGTCGAGGGGGCGTAGGGGACTGCGATGAGACATCGAAGGAGCGAGGCAGGAGAAACTGCTGAATAAAGCCCGGCCAAAAGGAGTTGGAGGAGACAGAACCTAAGAAGAAATCAAGAAGTTCTGTTCTCACTACACAACACTTCCCGGTCTACTTTCCGTTTCACCCGTTTCCCCTCTCTTGCTCACTCACTCCACCATCAATTCTAACCACCCCTACCTTTCTACCCGGAAATATTGAGGTCAAGGTTCTACCTCGACAGACATGTTCTCATGTCTACCGAGAAATTCACGCGCTGTCTCATCAGTGAGGCATTGAGCATCTCTAAGACGTCGATCTGCTTTATCGACACTACATGGAGCAGAAATACTTGTTGAAGACGATTGGACTTTGCTTCTGAGCTGATGCTGTCTTCAGGCTGATGGATCTGCAGATTTTGTTATATTGTTAATGCTTTTCTTGAATATTTGCCTGTCTTCCAGACGAAGTCCGGCATTTCTGCAGTATCTGCATTTTAACCTTTGAAACACTTCTCTATCAACCGTCGTTTATTTTCAAAAGTGAATTTATTTTCATCTTCTGACGCTTATCTTGTGCTGGTGGGTTTGGGTCTAACTGGGTCACAATTCTCACCCGGCACCTCTGCGGTATCTGAATGTTCACCCAAATATGCAGTAACTGCATTTTCACTCTTGAAACACTTCTCTATCAACTGTCGGTTCTCTTTAAAAGTGAGTACACTGTATTGAGCTGGTGGATTTCGGTCTAACCGGGTCACAAGTCTCACCCGGCACCTCTACAGTATCTGCATCTTCACAGTTGAAACACTTCTCTATCAACTGTCCTTTCTCTTCAAAAGTGAGTTTATTTTGATCTTCAGACGCCTGTATTGTGTTGGTAGATTTGGGTCTACCTGGGTCACAAGTCTCAGTCGGCTCTGCAGTATCTGCATTTTCACTCTTGAAACACTCCTCTATCAACTGTCGTTTCTCTTTAAAAGTGAGAATACTTTGATCTTCAGACGCCTGTCTTGTGCTGGTGGATTTGGGTCTAACTGGGACACAAATCTCACCCGGCACCTCTACAGTATCTGCATCTTCACTCTTAAAACACTCCTCTATCAACTGTCGTTTCTCTTTAAAAGTGAGAATACTTTGATCTTCAGACGCCTGTATTGTGTTGGTAGATTTGGGTCTACCTGGGTCACAAGTCTCAGTCGGCTCTGCAGTATCTGCATTTTCCCTCTTGAAACACTCCTCTATCAACTGTCGTTTCTCTTTAAAAGTGAGAATACTTTGATCTTCAGACGCCTGTATTGTGTTGGTAGATTTGGGTCTACCTGGGTCACAAGTCTCAGCCGTCTCTGCAGTATCTGCATCTTCACTCTTACAGACGCCTGTATTGTGTTGGTAGATTTGGGTCTACCTGGGTCACAAGTCTCAGTCGGCTCTGCAGTATCTGCATTTTCACTCTTGAAACACTCCTCTATCAACTGTCGTTTCTCTTTAAAAGTGAGAATACTTTGATCTTCAGACGCCTGTCTTGTGCTGGTGGATTTGGGTCTAACTGGGACACAAGTCTCACCCGGCACCTCTACAGTATCTGCATCTTCGCCGTTGAAACACTTCTCTGTCAACTGTCCTTTCTTTTCAAAAGTGAGTTTATTTTGATCTTCAGACGCCTTACTTGTGCTGGTGTGTTTGGGTCTAACTGTGTCAGAAGTCTCACGCGGCATCTCTGCAGTATCTGCAATTTGACTCTTGAAAAACGTTTCTATCAACTGTAGTTTCTCTTCAAAACTAAGTTTACTTTTATCTTCAGATGCCTGACTTGTGCTGGTGGATTTGGGTCTAACTGTGTCACAAGTCTCACCTGGCACCTCTACAGTATCTGCATCTTCACCGGTGAAACACTTCTCTATCAACTGTCCTTTCTTTTCAAAAGTGAGTTTATTTTGATCTTCGGACGCCTGACTTGTGCTGGTGGATTTGGGTCTAACTGGGACACAAGTCTCACCCGGCACCTCTACAGTATCTGCATCTTCGCCGTTGAAATACTTCTCTATCAACTCTCCTATCTCTTCAAAAGTGAGTTTATTTTGATCTTCAGACACCTGTATTGTGTTGGTGGATTTGGGTCTAAATGGGTCACAAGTCTCACCCGACACCTCTACAGTATCTGCATCTTCATCGTTGAAACACTTCTCTATCAACTCTCCTATCTCTTCAAAAGTGAGTTTATTTTGATCTTCAGACGCCTGTATTGTGCTGGTGGGTTTGGGTCTAACTGTGTCAGAAGTCTCACCCGGCACCTCATGTTTGGCTTCTGGTGAGGTAGTCGCAGTCCGTTCTGAAGCTTCAAGGACATTTTTCTCGCATGGTGATACATTCTGCAATGGTTTATATACACCGTAAGTATGTGATAGAGAATTCCATTCACTTTGGTTAGAACGATTCTGGAAAGCAAGGCATGTGAACCAAGTAGACAGTGAAGGCAGATAAATGATTGTTCATATAGGGCTATTAAGATTATGAGTCTAAATTGGCAAACCATCTTTGTAAACTTTTTGAGTTTATGAGTTGTCTGTAACATGAGGAGAGTAATAATAATCATTGCGGAACATTGATTTATTTTATAATTTATCACAGAGTATAAATCAGCGATTAGATCACTCTCTCACACAGTATTGTCACATGTCACACTGTAAAAGTACGCAAGGAAAGTTGAAACGATGTGTTTCGTATACTTGTTTTTGTTCAATTTTTGCTGATTTTCCGGGTTTTTGATTATCAGGGAAAATATATTTCTCAACGAATGTACATAATCGTAATGTTATTGTATATCTAAGCATACTACAAAAAGGGTACTTAGACTACTTATTTGGTTTTAATTGATTGTGATTGCCTTGTACCTGTTGTATCACACTATTATCGCAGATGGAAGCTATCAAATGAGAAAAATATTGCTACTAAACTAAATTAACAATGCCCTTGTAATTTATATAAAATAGTATTTTAAGAGTATAATTTTATGTACGGCGTATTTTATATTCAGCGTATCAGATTAATCAGAAATGAACACTGCATTACTGCATCCCTAATTCAGTCTGGGAAATTAAATTGATGGACCCCACTACATGCAGCAAGGATGCGTTAATGCATGTTCGGAGTTCGATTCCCGTAAGTTGCAATATTTTATCTTTAAATGTATCTTTTCTCAGTTTTGATTAATGTTAAAGTTACAGATATTTAGATTTCGTGGTCATGTGTTTTTTTATATTTTAATACTGCAATTTCTTATAAATTTATTTTGAAAGACATTGCTATAAGAATAAGCAATTCTTACGCTGCATAAATAGCACCCACCGGGTATCCTTAACAACTGAAATTCTGTGGAGTAAGTTATTTGTCGTCCCTTCTTAAAGCATTATTTCTCTCTCTGTCATAATTTGATGTCATTGTAAATATCACACATGATCTGTGAGTGATGCAAAACCCTTGCAGTAACGCCACGGAAAAATGTTGGATACAAATTAATTTGATCCGAGTATGTACTTACCCTTCGTACGCACGACAATTTTCGCCACCATTTCCTGCATCCCGATTTTTTATGAGATTTGGAAGGATCACACTTGAGTCCCATAATGAAATTCAAAACTTAATCAGAGCTTTCTATGAACACGTCCGTCTTTCTATACTTCTGTAACTGTACAGAGTTTTCTAACCATGGAAACGTCGCAATACTGTTTATTTATAATAATTGTTGCACTGATGGCCGTAGCCCGTGTTTATTCGTATCGTTTCTATGTCAGTAAACATATCCATGTGCAATGTTTGCATTATTGTAGTATGGGGAGTAGAATTTCGTTACACAACAATGCCTTATAATTTATTATCAACAACAGTATTTAAGTGCAACATGCTTCGGTCTTATATGATCTCCTGAGGCTATACAGACATTTCATATGAAGCAAATGTAAATATTTCAATTGGATTATAAAACTTCGCATTATATACAATTCCTAGCGTCTTTCTCACAGTGGAGGAACTTAGTGAAGAAATTTGAGAAAGAATCATTTTTGTTAGGATAATGATTGTTGTTTTGATAATCTTAAGTTGCTCTTGCTGTTAATAGCAGCACAATTTGAAGAATCGTAAGGAGTACGGATATTACTGGGGAGTAGGGGTAGGACGGTATTAGGACGTGTGGAAGCATGAACTGCATTGTTGTTGAAAGGAACCGTCAAGAGGGGGGTTTATGGGGATGTCTGTTTATTTAATACGTAAAAATAGTCCTATGGTAATTTATTTGTGATTTATTTAATTGGTTATCTTGTTTAGAACATTTCATATATAAGATTTTACGTATATGAGGCCTCTGGGTTATTATGGAATACTTGGATCCGATGCAACAAATATGTTTCCAGGCATCGATTCCTGATTGCTTTTCTGTTCCGCCACCAGATTCTCTCCTCCGTTCCTCAAAATGAAATGAACACAGAATAAACTGCATTGTTTGTAAATTCACAATTATGAACACGGTTGGCACTTTTATAGTAACACAACGATGTAATATAATAATATATTTTACATATTTATAATGGTTTGTCTTTAAGAATGTTTGAGGCCTATAAGGAATGTTTGATTTTAAATGCTGGTGAAAAATTGTCAACAGATTGGATTGCACTTTAGTTCGGGTAATGTATATAAAAGTACTGAATTGACTTTTGTTTATATGTGGAATTTAATGCTTAAATGTGAAACGAAAATGAAGTAACTTAAAATGTAGTCTAGTATCCATTACAAATTGGGAGAAATATATATAGATCAGATAATATATACTCACTGAAACTTACTATTTCTGATTCTCCTATTTAGAATAGTAAAACAAGCATTTCGTGATCTGGTATGTTCTATTACATTTTCCTTCACCAGCTGCAAGCAAGAAGTTACGTCTTGGTCAGAATTATATACTATTTTTATCGCTCGATTTTCTACTTATAAGTGTTATTTACTCTTGTATCATGAAATTAGTGGGTTTCTGACTTGTGTAAAGTATGATAATATAACCATATTCCAACAATGATCCAAATACCACAAATTAGTTTATTTGGAATATTTTGTTGTAATTTTGTCTTGGATTGTCGGAGTTATGTCAGCTCTGAAAATCGTTTACCCTGAATTACAAGTCATGTTTTATCCATGTAGGAGCCAGTTTCATTGCAGTATTTCTGAACCCGTGGAGGATGTTATGTAATGAATAGGATGGTTGATGATAAGGTAATGCTTCTATAAACTAAATATGTCGATTTTACAGTTTAAAAGGCTGATTACATCTTACTTTGCGTTGCACATGCTGCTACGTCTGACTCTAATTCCTTCTGTTCAAATTGCACACCATCCTCCTCTAATGCCTTTCCTGCTTCCTTTACCACATATTCTTGGTTCACTTCGCCATCTTTCATCTGCAAAACAACACATCAGCATCTGAATCTGTTGTATATTGTTTATTAGTAATAGGCTCTTTTATAAAGGAGTAATTAATTTTATTACAATAATTTTGGAAATAGTGCTGAATTTATTTTCATGTCAGTCAAGAAGTTATCAGTCTTGTGTGGAACCGTTCATTTCAGTATTTACAAAAGCCCGCCAAACTTGAACCAGTTTAATTTAGTTGACATAGTGAAATCCAGTTTCTTTTAAATTAATTTTAATCGTTTCTTCCCATCTAAACGTAGTTCTCCAACTTTTCTCTTCCTTTCAGGTATTCAGACCAAAATTTTGTACTCATTTATTCTGTCTCCCATGCCCCGTGCGTGCTCCTCGCGTTTTGACTTAATATGTGATGAAAGGTTCAAACCATAAAATTCATAATTATATCAAGATCTAGCAAGAAAAATATAAAAATTACTAATTGAGAATCTTGAAGTTTCACTATCACACTATAGCTTGAAAAATTCTCAACTTTTGTTAATGTATTTTTGTTTACTGATTCGTTTGAGATATATGTAGCAGTAGATACGTCTTACAAATTCGTCACTGAAGATTTGATTTATCTTCCATTACTCCTAAATACTTGTCTATTTGTGATTTGCAAAATGTGTGATACTAAGTAGTCTACTTTGTTTTGTATTCTGTCTATTAACTAGAGCCTATGGCCAGTCACATCTTGAAATATGTCATTTACATTAACGTACAGTTACCTTTGATACTACGCATCCTTGCATTTCCTCCTCTGTGGCGTCATGATTAAGATGGTAGTCTGTATACACTGTTCAGGATGTGTATGGAACGGGAGTAAATATGTATGGGAAACAGAGACAGGCAATTGACAGGCATGGTTATGGTTCATTATCTAAATCCGGCATGAAGTTCTGTTACCAGAATGTAGCGTCAAATGGGCTCCATGTACATCCCCTGCTATCTTCCAGTAGGAAGCCAGTATACTTAGTGATCAGTGTCTGTCAATATCTGCTCCATTCACATCCTGAATAAACTTTAACTACATGAACAAAACACGCGCTTTCTTCTAACCTCATTGTATATAGAACTATGGTCCTTCCCGTTACTGATTGTGTGTAAAACGACTGTCATTCAGACAAATTCGAATAAAATCTGCTTAATGCACTCGATTTCTTTATGTCTTTTATATATATATTAATACTTACATAACCATAACCCTCCATTAAACATTGGACATAGCACTAGAAATAAAACGAGAGATGGCAAATTAGTACATAGGAAAAAAATAGCTTTTTAATAATAGTATAAAATTATCCGTTAACAATTAAAGAAACTACTACTAGAAAGTACTACTTCAAAAGCATATTTTATGAATTATAATGCGTTAATTAATCTATGTAAAAGTTTAGCGATCACACAAAAGCTGCGATATTGCTCAATTTCCGGTAACCATCGTTGAACGTTAACAAGTAAACATGGTTTCTACTGCGTTGTATGTAAGTACATGTACATAGCAGGCCATGGATGAGTGAACAGTATTTTGTTTTAGTGCGTTTTCACAAAGAAGCATATATATATAATAATTAAAAGTAAGTAATGTTGCATGGAAATTCTAAATCATTACTTATCCTTTCTTAATTAAAGCATATAATGCAATGTATTGTGCATTCTGAAATATGATCTTTTACCGAAGTCATAATAACTGAAATAGTAATTTTAGAAAATGCTCACCAACCAACCAATCAACATTTTCTTATTATACAGATAAATTCTGAGAACCAACAACACTATCAACTGTTTATTAATATATTTGTCAGTCCTATGCAATAAATCTCAAGTCCGGGATCGTAGTAATCGAACGAAAGTGAAATTAATTACAATAAGTTAGTTTAATTTACTGTAATAATATTAAAAATAAATATCATTCGTTTACACAACTTATTTTATTCGAGTGCCTTATTCACCACTTTACCGCTACATGTTTCGACCGTCGTAGATCATCTTCAGATGGTATGCAAAGACTATTAGTGAACTATGTGTGGCATCGGTTGTGGTTAAGATGTATGAAACACTTATCGTGCTAATATTAGTGTATAGTTGAAATATTACTTTCGCTTTAAGTTTGGCCTGTAAGGATCCTTATTGGGTATTTCCATATATTATCATCACAAGTGTGATAATGATTACTTGGATATTCGACCAGCTCTGCATCCTCCCTACTCATCGACCAATTAGGTTGACGGAAACAAAATTTATGCAACTCGTATCTTCACAGATTTTCTCAGCAAGGTCATTCAAAGTGAAATGGAAGCAGGAATTTAACTGCGGACTCTGGAACACTTACCCTGTGGTATTCATTGGATTCGTCCTTTAGGACGATATTATAGTTATCATTGTCTTCAGTTTTCCCGTTGTTAACAAATATACCTGTATCAAGACAGAGAATTAAATATAGACAAGGCAGTTGTTGGTAATGCATTATTTTCAAGAAGATTGGAAAGATGTACTTTTTACAGTTTGTTCCGCATTGAACTGGTAGGAAAAACGCGACAGACGGACATGGACGGGTATAAAAGTTGATCTTTCCTGACGCCAGAGCGTGAAAGACGCCTAGAAGTGATGTTTGCATTGATATTCAATAAGTATTTACCGTTTCAACTTCTGTCTAAAAGGTTTGCAATTTTGTACGGTTGTGAAATATTGTGGTAAGGATGTAAGCTGGATTAAACTGCCTCATGATACAGACTGGTAGCGGGATCTTGTAGATGCGGCAGTAAACCTTCAGGTTCCATAAAAGACAAGGATTTTGGCTTCTCAAGTTGAATTCTGATTCCTCTTGTTCTTTCTTGTGACTTAAAGCCAATACTCACTCTCGTCTACGTTATATTCTTGGGCGCATTTATTCTGTACTTCATCTTCGGGTTCATCTGATGTCACCTGAAACATTTCTTTCATTTTATATTACTTTTGAAGTAATTTTTACAAAATGGTCGGTTGAGAAATGACCATTTTCTTTTCACTCTGATCGATCTCATTTATAGGATTATTTATCGATGTTAGTAATCGACAATCCAGTCTTCGACATATCTGTACGTTTCACTTAGGACGTTAATTATTAATACAGTTATTAATGTGTTAATGACGAGACACTGAAGACTGTAACCTTCCAGTAGATATTTAGATTTCTTCCCAACATGTAAAATATTTGAATTGGGCTTTGTAAGTTTAGTTACTGTGCGATTCTTAGCTTCTTACAACATTGTGGCAACATTGAAAATATTTAAGCAAGAACAATAACATTAGAATAATAACCATGATTAGGATAATAATACTACCTGAGATCAATAACAGCGCATTATGAAGACGTGTAGGAAAGTGTAGGTATTACTCTACGCATTTTAATAATATAAGGCGCTAAACGACTTTGTCCCTTTTGTGTGTATGGTGTACGTGCGTATGTAGGCCTATGCGTATTTGATGTTAGACGCCGCCTAAGAACTTGTACGCATTTTATTGTACTATTCTCTGATTCTGTTTAATATTATAATGAACTTAAATTATTTTCAGACCACCAAAAAAAAACCAAATTCGTGCAGAATATCATGTTTAACGATGTAAAGAGTTTTGGTAAGTCTACATTTTTCCCATAGTACGTATCTATGTATTTCTTATGATACCCAGAATAAACAGCTAATATATACCAATGGAGATCCATTGTTGTCTTTGATGTAGTTACTGAACTTTTAAATATTTTAAATAAACTGTTCCGCAGGCTGAAGAGAACACAAATCGCTGGGAACTGAAGAAGATGGAGTGGTGAAAAGTGGACTGTTTCAACTTCCTTCTTTTGTTTACAACAGAAAACAGTCCACACTTCACCACTTTACGTTCTTCATTTCCAAACGATTTGTCTTCTATTCAACCTACCTTTATCAGAAGGACGAGCCGGCTGTGCCTGGGAACCTTCACATTCAGGAAAACTTATATCCACCCCTGCACCCCCCCCTACCTTCCTTTCTAGCCTCTTTTTCACTTTTCACACGAAATGACTTTTTCTTGTACTTACTGCCCTAATCTGTGCCATGCAGCACACAATTCCAAAAACTGCAAGAAGACTTAGCATTTCCGCCATTGGTCTTGACGTTTGTTGCGTAGAACGTTTGCAATGTCCTGTTGCACATGTAATACAGATTAATCTCCCAGACGAGGACATATATACCGCTGGGACCACAACGTGTTTTAGACCTCCCACATCCGTGTCCTATTATCACCACGGACAAGGTCAGGTGAGCGCTACAAATCAAGTAGAGGCACCCACAAGGTTCATGCAGCGAGGAAGCTAGGGACCCATGTTCCAGAGGGATCAGATTCAAATCTAGTCCGAGTTATCGGCCAACTGAGGAGACCTCGTTCTATCAACGCTGTTTGATTTATGTTAAATAATGTCGTTGTTTCATTTATTCCTTTCCTTTTAAACGTTCTAACTTATACAGCAGATTTTTAAAATTATTTTTTTAAATTTTTATTTAAACCAGATAGACCCGGTTAATCCGCTCCCGGATAATCAAGAATAATAGGGAGAAGTGGTAGTAAAAGATAATCGTAAATATAACAATACATTGAAGATAATTTGTAACGCTATGTCATGTGTATGCGTTACATATAACACTGCGTGTGAATGGCTTCGGCAGAGCATTTCGGCCTTGTGTTCTGGTTTGTTAACCATGCCGAACGGAACTACAACGATTAAATTATATTTACTTATAGAATGCTTGTTTTCCTGGAATTACAATCTCAAGGTCAACTGCGTTATCAACTGTAGTGGCTCTCTTGTCCATGTTCCCTGGCATTAGCATTAGTTATTGTGTTTGATGGTTATACTAATTTGATAGCTCAAATCTGTTTTGTGCGATAATACTTTTTATTGTGCCATGGCCGTGTTCTTGTACTTTGCTTTTACTGAGAAAGATTATCATCTGTCACTTCCCTGCTCCCGGCACGAAATGCCGTAAAATAGGTTTATTCTTTTGTATTTATGGAGCGATACTTGACTCATATCGGGGGAAAATTGTGGTGTTATGGCGTTGAGTCACGCAGTCCCAGCTGTGAAGTGACATTTGCGTTTAACTTTATCAGTGAACGCGTGTACATCCTTTGAAACTTAGTATTTTTTAATTATTTTATCATTTGAAACTGTACAGTCTGCGCTGCTTTCAGCGTCGTTAAATAAACCTCAAATAAGTAAATAGGCCGGGAGATCCATTCTCTTAAGTAACCGTTTCTCAAATACCATCAATTACATGGGTGCTTTTAATAATTTTTTTAAATAAAATAAAATGTCCTCTGATTTGTTTCTTTTACTCATACCATTCTTTAATGCTACACAGCAACAGAAATGCCATATTATGTAATATAAATCTTTATATTTCCTTTAACGTCGCACAGAATTGTTTTGAGAAATTCAGTGGTCGCAAAAGGACACATTAAAGTAGTGTAAATTTATTGTGATATTGAAGTGCACTCCAGAATACCGAGTAGCTTACGAGTAAGAAGTAAATGAGGACATGTTATAACACTTCAGAGAGATGCTGAAACTTCTTTCCTTTAAAGAAGTAAAGCTAGCTACAATGGAGTTGAAATATCGCTGGGTATGGTGTTGAAACTTGGGCAGAGTGTGAAATTAATATGTTCCACCCTACACCTCCCTTCCCGTACCGTAAGAGATCGGGTTAAGATCTTAACTAGCGTAACTAATGGGACGATTTCACTGAGCTGCCTCGGCGGTTCAGAGTCCATGTCATCCGTTGTGTGGGCTTCATTATTCATCGCCTATCTCATAGTCAAAGACATCAAAGAAATTGTCAATGTTGGTTTTCCGAGTTGTAACACCATGTGAACATGTAGGTAGATACCAACGTTTCGGAGAAACATACTGCCTCCATCTGCATGTCTAACGTAATAAAAACACATTTCATATTCCCTGCCCTGATAATAAAGACACTTCTAAAACGTCGGTAAATATCTACTAGACAAAGAGATTGTTTTTGAGGTTGGAGAGTGTGTTCCAACTTTTCATCACTCTGTATAAGAATTAAAAATAACTGATATCGATATAATACAATAAAATTATCAAAGCATGGCTAAACACATTTAATATTCCATGAAAACTGAAGCTGTTCTATCGATAGCCTATAGATAGAAGGGCAGACTTACCCTGGGATGACAAAACAATGTAATGAGTAGTTTTAATCCTTGGAACGAGAAAAAGTCGAATTTGAATGCACGTATTTTGCAAAACAAGTCTTTGTGATTGTTCATGGTGTTAGTTTACTGCAGATACAAAATTGTTTTCTGACCTATTACGAAAATCCGGGAAGTCAAATGAATTGACCAGCGAATAATGTACGCTGACAGGCTATAGATGAAATTAACGATGAAATTCAATACACGTCTCCATTATGACCAACATGTGTAATCCACTCCTACGTATACGCTACAGTCAAATTATTGTTCGTTGCGATATGGCATTTGTTATTTTCCTTGATGTTTATTAACTTATGACACAAATCTAGTAATAGCGTACACATACAAATCCATTTTCCCACTCGGACGGTCTTGTTAGAACCGGAAGTGAACTGAATTAACTACGAAATAATGGACTTCAAACTTAGAGCAGCACTGAACCTAATTAGTGATGATTTTGCCATTGATCAATACGAATTGTAAATATTTACACTTTGCACATAATCATAAATTATTTGTTCTTGCATGATTCAATTTATTCACCATACCGTTTTTTTTAAATGATCGTACTTTGATTAGTGTATTGTCATACAGCAATGTTTTGTACGAGGAACTGCTTTTGAAACTTCCTGTAAATTAGAGGTTATGTTTGATCGATAAGCACCAACATTAAATTCATTCGATCACAATTATTATCGATTTCTCATTACCAGTTGTAATTGAAATCTGTTCGCTACTTTGGGATTACAATTATATGCAGAAGGACACATCTCTCTATCCATATGCATTTACTTTGTGCATACGATGCATAATTAGCTCGACAACATTTAGAGCAAATTCACAGCGTGTGATTTAATCAGAATGTGTTTACTGCTATTGAGATGAAACGTGTTTACTGATATAACTTCTTCATTCGGTTTCCGTTGCCTGTGTTTTGAGCAAGAACATATAAAATAAATGAGACCATTTAAGTACGGACAATTTAATTATAAAGTCTTCAGATACTCAGGAACTACAGTAAGTTGTATTAAAGTTTCTATTTACATAGTTAATTCTGCATCATGCAGAGATTGGCAGCATGGTTGTTTTTTGTCGAAGTTTGTAACACGGATTTGACAATAGAAAAGTACCTACGTTATAAGACATCTTTTCCAATACTTTCGGCAAATAAATGTAAATGTTACCTTCTGTACATAAAATTATGAACGCTCCTTACTTTCTCTGTATCTGGTCTGGTTGCTAGGAGAATATAACCGGTTTGAAGGATGCATAAATGGAACACAATGTGTTATCTCTGGTGTAAATAATGCAATATTTTTCAACGAGGATTCATATTTATAAGATCGTCGTAAAACAGCCTTAGTTATTATTTCAGAACACGTTATTTCAATAAAATTTCAGGCACAGAACAGGACTGTTTTATTAGCACTTACATAAACACGTACATACATATGTGCATTCAAAAGTTAGACTGACTACAGGATATGAATAGGTCGTATTGTGAGACTGATGGGAACAAAGGATGGATCAAAAAGTTATTTTCCTCATAATTTAACGCCGATGTACTTGGAATATGTTAATTTATATGTTGCGATTAGGCAGTTGAGTAGCTCAGGCACGAGGATTGAATTAAGCCGTGCATCAGAACAAATCACACGCGAACGTCCGCGCCAGCTAATGACGGTGTGGAAACGTGAGCGAGCTTTTCAGCTGCATCTTCCTGCCGGCACATATCGATTGTGATCTAGTCGAGAGACTCGACTCTTGCTTTAGTTCCGTCACCCAGGTCAGGTCCTTTTTTTCAGAAAAAATAATAAGTACGTGATTAAATTAAGAGAAGAAGAAATTCTGGAGATTTATTTTTCGCTCTGTGGAACAGAGTCGTTTTTGAGAAGCTAATAGTCGCTCAGCTAGTCAACAATTTCCCTGAATTTTATGGAACCCGAAAACAAATTCCAGTATCCGAAAAGCTATTTGAATTTTAAAAAACTAGGACAATGGATAATGTTCAACAATGGTGAGAATGACGATGATAGTTTTCTGAGTTTTGTCGCCGTAAAGACTTGTCGGTATATGCCACCGTCTCCATCTTCAGGGCTGAAGATGGAGACATTTTTTATTGTAATAACCCGTCGTTGCAAAACTTTAGATAAGATTCTTAGTTTATTTAATGACGTGTTACAATTGTATATGTTAGCCAATATATCGAAAAGTTGTGTGATTTCGAACGCTTAAGTGGGAAACATGTTAAAAAAGGTAATTGGTTCTGGTTTCTTTCTCTGTATTTGAGTCCTCTCAAATACAGAGACAGAATTCTTATTACTACACCGAGACTCTTTGAGAGTCTACACATGCTCTGAGACCTACTTCTCGTTTTATCCAACTGGCATGTTAACAAAATTATAACACAGCGGACTGCGTTATGGAAAACATTCAATGTGTAGTACTTGTCCTGTGTTCTGAAACATTTAACATTCGGAGGGATGAATTTATTGAGAAAGGAACAGCTAAAGTTATGTTTCTACATTGTAGGATCTTCAGAAACATATGGTATGCCAGAACTTCAGATAAGCCCTCACACTTCACCCTTCCCTCTTGGATTCCTCCTAAGATTCCGCCATGACGTACGCCGACTTCTGCTTCAAAATTAACTGCCCCTTTATCTAGGCCAAACAGAAATATCGTGTTATATGAACCTCCTATCTACGCCTTTGAGTTCTGTAAAATTAAAACAAAAGAATCTGGTCCTCAGCAATCAGAAATGCAGATGTTCTTTCGTCCTTTACAGCAGTTCAAAAGAACAGTCACGTGATTTAGTCCGAAATGGCCCGTTGTCCTGCATCGAAAGATAAATTGCATCACATGCACGTAGCTTAAGTCAAAATCCTTTTAAAGGGCTTTTTACTGAACATGAAGATGTTCTGGACACGAAATATCTTCTGTCTGCCTGGAACTGGAGCGTAAAGTTGCTTTAAAT